GTGTTGCCCGCCGACAGCCCCAAAACATCACTGCTCTAGAGGAGATCTGCATGGAGGAATGGGCCAGCATACCAGCAACAGTGTGTGCCAACCTTGTGAAGACTTACAGAAAACGTTTGACCTCTGTCATTGCCAACAAAGGATATACAACAAAGTATTGAGATGAACTTTTGTTATTGACCAAATACTTATTTTCCACCATTATTTGCAAAAAAATTATTTAAAAGTCAGACAAAAGGATTTTCTCAAATTTTTTTTTTCACATTTTGTCTCTCATAGTTGAGGTCTACCTATGATGTCAATTAAAGGCCTCTCTCATCTTTTTAAGTGGGAGAACTTGTACAATTGGTGACTGACTAAATACTTATTTTCCCCACTGTACCAGCACTTTCAGGACCTTGGACAGTTCCTTCAGCCCTTCATACTGTCCAAGGTCCAGAAACATTCCAGCACTTTCAGGACCTCGGACATTTCCTTCAGTCCTTCATACTGTCCAAAGCAGTGATTTCCAACAAGCATTTTACAGGGGGTATGTGGAAAAATTCCCAGGTGTGTAAAAAAATAAATATAGGACTGAGATTTGCAGGGCCCTATGATTTCCACAATACGGAAATTGAAGAAAGAATCACAGAATTAACACAAAATGAAATCCAGTATAAAACGTAGAATCTCATGGAATTTGCTCATTTTGGTGAGTTTGTGATGTATTTTGGACAATACAATGTATTTTGGACGCTGCTGTTTTCTGCATCTGCCATTACCTGTTTTTTTTATTTAATTACTTATGCACTTTCAAGGCAACATTTTTATCTTTAATTTGAGTTGAAAAATTAAAATGCCTGAGAACTAAACATTCTAGGGAGTTAACTAATTTTCATTTAATAATCAGTTGTAGTACATTTATTTTTGAGAATCATCATTACGTTTGACTGAAGTTGTACTAGTGGTACTTTAAATAGTTATTTCAGAGACATGACTGAAAGTGTGAGAATTTGTTGACTTGTGTCCATCTTTTCCTTTTCTCCTGATTCACTCTCACACCTGTTGACACTTAGTAATCACCCAGCTGTCTCCACTTCCCACTCCACCCTGCTGTATTTAACCAGTTCTGCTTCACCACCTCCTCGTCTGTCAGCTGTTGTCTGCCCTGGCTTCCTCCTGTGATTCTCCCATGTCTTCTTCAATATCGTTGCCATGTTGGTATTTTGTTTTAATAAAGTTCATCTTATTTTTTGATACCTCGAGTCCTGTCTCCATCTCCGGTCCGATTTTGCTGCCAGCGTATTAGAAAGATACTAAAGATTTCACTGATGAATTAGATGGTTAAGAAACATTCAAAAGAGAGTTATTATAAAAGGAAGGGGGCATCGCTACGTTTGTAATCATCCTTTAGATGTAAAAATATTGATAACATGTAATTCAACATTAATGGTTTAATGCAATTCAAGGTGAGGTTGAAAATCCCTAAATAAAATTAGTATAATTAGTTGTATGTATAGAGAACCAGGAACATGTATTGATCAATTTAATAGGAAGATAACTGAGATATTTAATAAGTATAAAGAGGGTAATTATTTTTGTGTGGTGATTTTAACAAATCTGTGGAAATCTAATGATCGTTGTAATACTGTAGAATTTTTAAATATCAGGTTAAGTTTAAGTTTTTATTCATTAATTATAAAATGTAGTAGAAAACAAATGACACTTCAACATAAATTTATTTAATAAATTATATGGAAGGAAAAACTAATAATGGACTAGTGACTGATTTACATTCACCTGTTTTTATTGTGTCAAAATAAATCAAAGATAAATCAAGACTCAAAACAGAATCCAGTAAATTGGTGAGAATAAAAGTACCCGAGGGTATCTCTACTTTTAGGACAGATAGTTTATATCAGGACTGGCAGGAAGTTTATGTAGATACTAAAGTTACATACATCCTGTTTGATTCTGATCCCGGTTTCCAGTGTTTCATTCTGTTTGTGAAATCAGAGTTGCCTTTTCAGCACTTTGTTTTATTAGTTGAATAAATCTATTTTTGCTTTTTATTTTTACCTACTTTTCTGAGTCCTGCTTGCACACTGGGTTTCAACAGTTTGCTGACAACTTTTTTTTTACTCTAACTGTATAGCTTATATAACATCAGATAAAAGGATTTTATTTTTTTGGAACCCTCAAAGTTTGATTTTAATTTAAGACCTTTCAGGTTTGGGTTGTTTCAGTTTTGCCAGTTTAAATAAAATGTATTGCTTTATTAGACTAGTCAAGCTGAAATCTTCTGGGATTTGACCACATGCAAACATGTTCACTGACAAAGTCTTGTTTTTCCACATTACCTGGTTGATTCCACTGTTGAGGAAAGGTCCAGGCAGGTAGAGAGCCTGCTGTGGGCCAATAGACCAGTAGCGGCCGAGATTCAGCCCATTAATAAACACAATGCCCTTCGCCCAGCCCTGTGAAATCACAAAATGCACACATTGAACACTAAAAACACCAGCCAGTGGTTTAGTCCACTGTTCACCTGCCTAAGGAAACATGCATGGCAGGCTGCTTGAAGACTGAAGCAGTGGAGCTAGCATAAATAGCTTCAAGAAAAAAAACACTCATTTGTGACAGCTAATCGTTAGTCGTGAGTAACTTCCTGTCAGGTGGGAGAAAGTTTAATTTTAACAATGAGGTTTATTATTATGATTAACTATGGCTATAATGGTGAATGGCTAAAATTAAAGTAGATTACTGTTGTCTTTAAAAACACCTAAAGCATTTCAAAATGGTTCAGGTGAACTCCTCTTTATAAACCTTTATGCTGCCAACAGTTTCACAATAATTAATTATTTAGCTTASTGATGGGGTTTTGTGCAAGAAACTGCTAACAGGAGCATTTTTACGACAGCTTGGCACATTTCCGGCTGGAATGTTGTAATATTTTTTCCAGATTGACTGATAAGGTTAGAGCAAAGTAAAAATATTGGCATTTATAAATCCCATATATCCATCCATCCATTATCTATACCCATTTACTCCTTTTCTAGGGTCACTGGTGCCCATATCCAGCAGTCACAGTGTGAGGGGCGGGGTACACCCTGGACAGGTCACAAGTCCATCACGAGGCCACACATAGAGACAAACAAGACAAACAACCATTCACTCTCTCACTCACACCCCATGTAATTTTTTCTTAAACTATTGTTGTTTTAGAAAGGCAGAAATCCGATTTGCTTCTGGCCTCACATGAATATGAAATTAGCTTGTCAATCCAGTAGATATCTGCAGTCTTAAAAACACATCAAAATTCAACACATTTTATCCTATAGTGTTCAGTTCAGCATTACATACTGGCTGTAGAAATGGTATAGTATTCCTGCATGACGTGCTTCAGACTGCACAGGAAATGCTACTAGCTGCTGCTGCTATTTGCACTTTCTAATAGTGAATAAAGGACCATTAAATGGGGACCTTCACTCATAAAGTCATGCATATCATTTGCATGCATTATCTGCTGCTTTCACAAATGATCAGACAGACTAGATTCTACAGCTGGGCTATTCAACTAAACTGCTCCAGGGGCCACAGTTAGTGCAGACCAACGGCACAGGGGCCGAACATCCAGAAATTAAAGTTATTATGTAAATAAACCAAGTATTACAAAGATCTGTTACCTTTGAAATAGTTTATTTTGTTGCATCTAATCATGAATACAACATACAGAACCCTATGTAATAAAAGTAGTGATAATTAAACAATATTAAAAACAAAAAGAACACATTCTGCCTCTTATTTGACACAAATATTATTTTGAGATCTGACTTGCCAAATTTTTAAACCAATTTTATTTTCACTTTCATAGTTTTATCTTTAACTGCTTTAAGTTTTAACTGTCTTGAGTGTTCAAAGAAATGGTTTTTACCAGCTTATAACCAAGATTCTGACGTTTCTGTAGATACAAACAAGTCTATGTTTAACTAACAGAACTTAGAATAATTAATGTAGAAAACCGGGGGTTTGGGCTTAAGAGGTGAATGAACCAATTGGCGGGCCACACTTTGGTCACTCACGGGCCGGATGTGGCCCGTGGGCCACCAGTTGAATAGCCCTGTTCTACAGAGTCAGTGTTAATACCTTAACAGAAAAAGACAGAGCAAATTTCAACACATCTGACATCAGGAAACACAGGAAAGTTCAATTGAAAGGTTGTGTGGAAGGTCGAGGTCTTTGTGTGCATTTTTAATCACTTGTTTCTACATCAGTTAAAGAAACTTTTTTTTTTTGTCGGTTAAAGAAACTTAATGATGATGTTTAGAATTTGTGTAAGTATAATATCACTGTATGTGTGACACTTGCTGTATGAGTCTAGCATTGATGCAGACTGATATCATACAGACCACTACAGAAGATCTTTCCTGCCCACAGCCATCACCATCTAATCTACAATAACTCTTTAGTTAAATGAGTTACAACATCACCTAAATTCCCTTTGGGATCAAWAAAGTATTTTTGAATTGAATTGAATTCTACTGATCCTGCTGGCTGCAGCGAGGACTTTTGATCCTGGCATTAAAGTATCATGTGATACCGTGAGATCTAATGTGTGTTAACAGGTTTGTACCAGATACATACCCACTACCAGATATCATAACAAAAGAAACAGTGAGTGTATGTGCAGTTTTCCTGACACTTACTGGCATCTTCACAAATGTGTCACTGGGATACCCATATGCAAACAGCCTCCCCATGAAAAATCCAGGAAAACTCGGGTTTTCAGGGAGACTTTTCCAAGGTGCCTGATAAAGGCTGGGGRAGGAAAAGGTTGTGTCAGTCACATTAGTAAAGACAAATGTAGGTGGTATGAGTGGTGTTAAGTTGAAAGAAGTTTACAAACCTGTCAATAAAGCTGGGTTTCATRTCCAGGCTGTATATTGTAAACTCACGCAGGGGAATATTGTTTAATAAAATATCCCCCACCAGACCTGCAAGAGCACAAATCAAAACTGATTAATTCACTGAGTGCACTTAGTGTAGAGGAAGTTTAAACKTGAACTGCAGACTTTTCTGTTGATCACCTTTATGTTGGTTGTCAAGGTGCTTTCCACGGTGAACACGTCCACAGTTTTCCACCAGTAAACTCAAGGTACGTGGACCCTGTAGGGATCAACAGCTTTAATGTTTTCCACTCAATAAGACACAACTTCATCACAGCCAGTAAAACAGCTCTGTTGTTCATACCTTACCATCAGGAACAGCCAGCTCCACATTCTGATGCTTGAAAAGGCCAATATAGTTTCTATCTATAAAAACCTGGAAAAACAATGTTAAATTTTACATAATTTCATGTTCATTACTGTAAAATCATTGATAAATACAAGATCTTGGACTTGGAAAATTATCAAAGATTCAGTGATGTAAGTCTTGTTTTTAGGGTCTTAAATGGACAAACAATTTCATCCACAAATATACATCCAGAATGAAAACTAGATCGCAAACTAGAGGGGACTGTGTTGTTGCAAAACGGAGACCAGAGTTTGGTTGAAAGGTCTCACGTCTATCAGAGGAACATTCTTATGGAATGACCTGCAAATATCAGACTGTGACAATTATTCCATTTTTAAAAAGAAACTTAAAGTTTGTCTGAAAGAAAATCAGTCATGCATTCATCTGTAACATATTTTAACTGTAGACCTTGTAGACTGAGGAGTTTGTGTTTGTTGGGCAGTGTTGAATTTTGTCTGTTTTGTGCACTTGTTTTATGAACTGTTACTTTTTTATCTGCTCAGGACTACAGATGAAATTTAGCTGTTAATTCCGGTGCATTTATATTGACGGAATATTGATTAATGTGCATTGTCCTTTTAAATAAATAAATGAAACGAAATCATTTTAATTCAAATAAATTCACTCATCTTTATATAGAAATTACTTTGGTTGTCAACCATCATTGTTAGCTACCAGAAGACCAAAAGAGAAGAAAATCAAGAGTGTAGTACTGAGGGTAGTAACTTTAAATTACAGGCAAAAAAACTGGCTGAAATTAAACAAAGTAGGTAGGAAGGTAGAGTGGGAACTATGTGCAGGAGACCAAGTAGAAGGGCAGCAAGGTTTAATTTGTTTTGCATGGTATTAATAGAAAGAGTCACTGAGTAGGAGCAGCCCTGAGAGAGTAGTTTGCAAAGAACGCAGTAGAGGTGAAGAGCTCATCAGAACAGGTAGAGGCTGATGAGGGTGTGTGCAATCAGTAAATGAACAGCTCACTGCACAAAGGTCTGGCATCGATTCAGTGGGGAGAAGCAGTGTGTGTGAAGGTGTAGTYGGCTCTATGAGATGTTTTTTGTACCTCTGGTGTGGTGATTGCTTTAGATTCCCAACATTCTGAGGCCAGGTTTCCTGCCATATGAGACTCGTGTAGAAAGAGGGTGTTTAACATTACAGAKTGATATAGTGATGTGTCTGAAGGTAGAAGCAGATGATCTGTTCAATGTTGACAGTGGCTATGCTCCACAGGTTGTCTTCAAGTTTCACATAAACGGCCCATAGGCTTTACACTAATAGTAAGTGAAGGGGAAGTGTCTCCCACATTTCAAAAGTATCGTTTGGACCCCTCCGCATTTATCATAAAATGCATTAAATCACCTCCACTGTGGAGGTGGAGTGTATCCYRGGGTTTTGTTCATGAATGAGGGAAGAATGGAGCGGGAGATCGACAGGCGGATTGGTGCTGTGYCTACAGTGATGCAAGCGCTGTACCAATCTGTTGATTTACCGGTTGGTTTATGTTCCTACCCTCATCTATGGTCACGAGCTTTGGGTAGTGACCAAAAGAAAGAGATCTCAGATACAAGCAGCTGAAATGAATTTCCTCCGCAGGGTATCTGGGCTCTCCCTTAGAGATATGGTGAGAAGCTCAGCCATCCAGGAGGGACTCAGAGTAGAGCCGCTGCTCCTCCACGTCGAGAGGAGCCATTTGAGGTGGCTCAGGCATCTGGTTAGGACGCCTCCTGGACGCCTCTCTGGTGAGGTGTTCCGGGTACGKTCCACTGGGAGGAGGCCCAGAGGAAGACCCAGGACACACTGGAGGGACTATGTTTCTCAGCTGGCCTGGGAACACCTTGGGATTCCCCCAGAGGTGCTGGCCCAAGTGGC